AGGAAGGAAGGAAGGAAGGAAGGAGACGCCAGCTCTACGATCATAATGGCAAACCCTCACCAGTGTGTGCTATGTGCTGGGGCTGACCTGAGTGCTTTACGACCAGTGTGTGAGGTGAGTGCTGTCACTGCCTCAGCTTTGTAGGTGAGGAAACTGAAGCAGTGAGTGATTCAGGACTTGCCAGGGTCACATAGGAGGAAAGGGACCAAGCAGGTGAACAGAGACAGGGCCAGAGTCCAGGCTTGGAAACTGTGTTGCGATGCTTCCCAAAAGGGAAGTGCAGGTGCCCGGGGGAAGAGCGGTGCAGGGCAGCACCCAGGAAGAGGGCGGGCAGTGCTGGCTCAGAGGAGGGACTCCGGCGGGTGTGGGTGGAGGCGCCTGCAGTGCTCTTGCAGGCTCTCCAGCAGCGGCTCCCCCAGCACCAGAGCAGATGCAGCCACCCCTACACACATGCCTGCCGGTGGGCACCACAGAGCTGTACCCCATGCCAGTCACATCAGTGTCCCCACAAGAGTGCTGGGGGGTGACCCTGCCAGACACACACATGCTCAGCAGCATCACAGCCAAGGCTGCAGACCAGTCTCTGCTACACACCACGAGCCTGCAGTTGTCCGTTCTTCCCCTTGTCCTGAGAGCGCTCCACAGTGCTGTCAAAGTGTTCTTACATAGTGCGTGCAGTGCACACACAAATGCAGTGTGCGAAGCCTGAGGAGGTCCACGTGAGCTCTATAGTCACACAGTTGTCCTCACCACACTGCACCCTAGTCCCAGGGTATGATTGCTGGGAGGGTAGGTGTGGGGGGACTCAAGACACCTTTCTACTGTTCTTGCAGCTTCCTGAGACTCTACAAATATTTCAAACTAAAAGGCCTATAAAAAACTCTAGACTCCAAAGGCAAAAGGGAAGACTGAGTACAGTGATCTCACTCCTTCTCACGAGGAAACTGAGGCTCAGAGTCGACTTGGCTCCCACCTCTTCTCAGCCAGGGTCCCGAATGAGTTCATTTCCCACCTGCTCCTCTTCCCACCCTTACTCACACGCTGCCTGTCTTCCTGCCAGCTCCCTGCGCCCTGACCCCACTTCAGGCCTCCCCCCTCGCTTCCTGCCAGGCCGTGGCATTTCACATCAGTCGCAGAGGTCCGCGCTGGGCCGGAGCTTTCCTCCAGCACTCCTCCCGGCCTGACGCTGCCTGTCACTCCCTACAACCACGCAAAATCTTTACAGAGCAGCAAATCTTCTGTAACCGTGCTTGGAAAAAGCCCCATGGTCCAGGTGTCTCTTTACCTGGGCGTCTACTTACCAGGTGTCTACTTTCACTGGGACTTGCTGCAATCACCTGCCCACACATAGGCACCATATGTCACTTCTCACAAAAATCAATTTTACAGGACTACCCAATAGAGTGTAAGCACTAAATACACAGTCACTTGCAATTGCTCCACTTCAAAGAAAGCACTACCGGGAGCAGTGAAAGGAGACAAAATGCATATTTTAATACTACTTTTCTGTTTTAATTTTTCACTTTCAGCTGCATTTTATTTCCACTCAGGGGAACGAGAGGAGAAATGCATAATACAAGATATTCCAAGTGAAACATGGGTCACAGGTAGGTAAGGTGTGCCTTGTTTTTTGTTTTTTGTTTTTTTATTTTAAAAATAAAAGGAGGAAAACATTAACATACAGACAACCTTTTACAAAATAGCAAAAAAACAGTACAGACAATACAGAGTTACAAAGTGGTAGGAAATTAACAATGCTTGTTGTATTACATATTGATATCTTCAAAGTGGTTTCTCATGAAAACAGAGACATGCAATATTGATCAATCAAGGACTCATTGACAGAGATGTGCCTTGTTGAATGATGAATCCAGATGTCTTTCTATGGTATTATGCTGATCTCCTGGACTCGGTACTATTTGGCAGTGAACATAATACTGTATGGTCATCTCTTGATAGCTTACCAAGTTATGCAAAGCTGATGTGAAAACAGCCTTGTGAGTGAGTGACTTGTATATTTATAAAGCAGGAAGCCTGGCTTGGACCAGAATCCAAGCTTGATTTGTGGTTCTGGTCATCAGTTATCCTTAAGCATAACAATCTCTGATGCCATTCAGCATATTAATTGGGGCTGGAGGCTGAAATATGTGAGATCTTCAGACCAGAGTGCCCATGTGGCCACGGCGATGTCTGCACATTTCCTGTGCTTTGTGCACCTTTGTGCACCTCTGAGAAAGAGATAAGCTCCACCAGTTTCAGAATCGTGTGGGAAATCCAGTAAGATACCCAACATTCAAGCAGAATCAGCATCAGATTATCTATCTTCTTTAATGCAAGAAGAGCAGCAGCAGCTAAATCTAGAGGTATTCTTTACAAGCTCTGATCACACATTTTTATATCCCATTTAACCTAACATTGAGTAGCGCTGAATTCTCCTTTCAGTTCATCTTGGCCATTGCATTTCAGTGTTCTATTTCAAACAGTGATGGCCCAGCCTGCCAAATGGCAGTAACTGCAGGACGCAGGAGGCCGTGAGAGCACAGCATGGGGTGGCACCTGAGGGGAGCAGAGAGGACAGGACAGATATGGTGGGCACTGAGTGGCAGGCCCCCTGCTCTCCCAGTCACTGTGGGAGGAGCGTGTCTGAACAAGACTTCTGCGTCCAGACCTCAGACCTGCCTCCCAGCACTGTGAGTGAGCCCCATAACTGCCTTGCCTCTTCAGCTGTGTGCAGAGTTCATCTTTGTGAGGCTTCCAGAACCTGGCCCACCCTGGTCCACACACAGAGCAGGAATGGGGAATGTTAGCCGCCTTTGTGAATCCCCAGTGCAGCTGGCCATTTTTCTAGGAACTAGTAGAATTCCCAACCTGCAATTCAAGGGGTTGTAGCTGGAGAGTCCTTGACACCCTGGAGGTGCTAGAGGCAGGAAGCCTGGCCCTACTGGCCAGTTCCTGATGCAGTCTGACCTGCAGCCCCCAGCTCTCCAGGGCTGGCTCCTCATCCTGAGTCGAGTCTCTCTGTCCCAGCTCCCTTGGACACTACTGCACACTGCTCCTCCCTGGTCTGCTGCTGCCTCCACATCTGCAGGCCTTTCTAGGTCCTTACTCTGCAGTGTCCCTGGCCACTGCCCCTCAGGTATGTAGGCTTAGAAGATAGAAACTGCAGAATAACCTTGGAACTGTGGAAGGTCATAATTTTAGTTTTTCTTTAAAAGAGGACAGCGAGGCCCTGGAGTGCCAGAATTAAAGACTCTGGCCTTGGGTACCATCTTGTGGATCTGGAAGGAGCCACCATGCTGCCCAGCCTCTGCCCCTGCACCCAAGGCAGCTTTATATCCTTCCTGCTGGGCAGTGCTGTCTTGCTGTCTATAGGGCAGGACCGACGGACCCATGCTCCATCTTCTCACCTTGCGCTGCTATCTGAAAGACCCTGTACCACAAGGGGGGTGACTAACCCCAGGTTCCTCTCAGGCTCACTCCCCCAAGCCACTCATGTCCACTCTGGGGCAGAGCACAGCAACAAGGTGTCTGGCTTGGGTCAAGGTGAACCAGAGACAGGGGCTCAGAGGGGAGGACAGGGCAGGCAGAGGCAGCAGCACAAGGGCATAATTGAAAAGAAAAGAGGACTTACCTGCTGACCAGGACCCAGGCGGGCAGGTGTGCCTGGAGAACAGGTGTGTGTAGGCCCAGGGAACAGGCTATGGAGATAGGTAGAAGAGTGGGTGGCCCTGGAAAAAATTGGGGATTTAAAAGAACAGAGAGTAAAAATAAGTAAATAAATAAAAGAACAGAGAGTTATTATTCAATATGGAAAAACAGGACCCATCACAGGAAAGAGTAGAAAGAGAAAAAGGAAAACAAACTTATCAACCCAACTACACAAACAACTGCAGTGAGTCATGGTACAAATATGACACAAATGACAGTGAGAACAATTTTCCTCAGGTCAGAGAGGCCACAGCAGCATGCACCAGGGCTCATGGGGAATCTGGCAAGGGAAAATCCTGGGGCTCATTGGGACTAGGCAGGAGGGCATCCCAGGTCTCTTTTCTGGTTCCTGGTCACTCACCAATGCGGTCATTGCTTGGATTTAACATGGGCACCAGTTTAAAGGCATTGAGGACAGAAGAGGTGCGTCCGTCCTGCTGTCTCTATGCTCCCGTAGCCCTCTGCAGTCTGACCTGGGAGCAAATGAGTTAATGCAAATCAGCATTGACATGTTGCAGGATTGACCACGGTTTTTTGTTTTGTTTTGTTTTGTTTGTACTGGGAATCGAACTCAGGACCTTGTGCTTGCCAGGCAGGTGCTATGCTGCTGAGCTATATCCCTGGCCTAACACCATGGTTTTTGAGACTTCTGACCATGCTGAGATGAACCCACTAGCTGGTGTTTAACTGCAATCATGCCTGGATGTGCAGTCCCTGACTTCCTGACCTCGCTGAGGATTGTGACACACGGCCTCTCCTCAGTCCATTTGTGTAACATATGACCCCACACCCTAATGGAAAGGAGTTGCAGCCGTGTGGCACAGCCTGCTCTCTGCAAAGCCGTGAGCCCATCCCTCTAGGTGCTTGCAGCACTCTGGCTTTGCCCAGAACTGGACTCCAGCTCCCTGGGCACTGAAGTTGCCTCGAACCCACATCCATCCTCTCTTCCTTCTAAAGGTTGTCTTCCTCCCCGCAACCCACTGCTCTTCCTCTATCTACTTACTCAGTGGATACCTACTGATCCCACCCACCATGCCATTGCTCAGTGGATACCTACCCACCCACCATGCCATTGATCTAGACACGAGGAATTAAAAAAGACAGTCCTGCCTTCATGGTGCTTAACAGGTAGTAACATTGTAGAGCACCATAGCTAAGTGCAGAGAGAGGGTCACAGCACAAAGCAGACAGGGAGCTGCCAGCGTGGACAGAGAAGGGCTCTCACTGTTGTTGCTGGTGACTCAGCTCTGTTCCTTATACCTGCACGGGGGATACCACCTGCCCTGCAGCAGCAGCACCTGGCATGTCCCAGAGTTGCTACAGGTGCTCAGCAAGGCCAGTTCCCACCCTGTGGACACTCTCTGACCTATTTACTCACCTGCCTCTGAGTATCTACCTGTCCAAAGCCTCCTCGACAAGTGGGTGCAGCTTTGACTGAACCCCTCTCTGAAAGCACCTGAGAAGCAGAGGCCTGAGCTCCAGCTCCCACCAGAAGCTGTGCAGACAACACAGGGCTTGTGCACCCAAGAGCACCAGCCAAAGGCCCTGCCAGCACAGGAAGTCCTTGCTCTGGGAACCTGGAGACTCCAAAGCTAGACACCTTCTGGACATTTGACCTTGTCCCTCTTAGCTCAACAACCTCCAGGTTGTTGAGTTACAAAAGCGATAAACAGCTGTGCTGGTGAGGCTGGGAAAGGTGAGAGGAACAAGGAGACAAACCCCGGAGTGGCAACTGTAAACCTTACTACTCCTGTCTGGTGAGTTTCAAACCACTTACTGGTCCTGGGGGATTTTTTTTAAAGAACAAGTCCCTTATCAAAGGCAGGGACTGGTAGAAAGGGAGAAGTGCCATGGGGCATAAATCAGAATGCGGAGACTGTTCAGTAGGAGAACTCTCAGAACTCACATCCAGTCAGCAAACAATGCTGCTCCTGGATGCTCCCTTTGAACATGCCCCCCGATGTGACTCAAGCACCGTGTGTTCAAGTACAAGTCTTAGTGAGAGCAGGAGACAGGAGGGAGGAAGCCCCAGGTTAAATGGATATTATCTATCATTCAGTCCAGTGGGGTAAAGACTGCACTCGCAGGTCTTCCACACCTCAGGGTCCTCGCTGGAGCAGAACCTGCGCCAAGGACGCAAGTGCCACAAGGGAAAGAGAAGCTGCAGGGTGGCTTCAGGTTAACTGCAGAGCCGTGCTGAGCTCAGGAGCTTAGGATAGCTACAGTCGGAAGCTCCAACTACCCACTCCTCGGCCAACACCCAAAAGAAGTGAAACCAAAGCCTCAGTTTGATCAGTGGTCACAGCAGCATTCGTTAAAATAGCCAAATCATGGAAATCATCTGTGTCCGTCAACAAATTAAAGGATAAACAAAATTCAACTGTTTCCACTTAGTGGTCAAAAGTGACAAATATATAAAAATCAATGTGAAGATAAAGATGTCTGCCATCTCTACACTGCAAATGACAACATAGTGGGGTGGGGGTTCAAGGATAGAAGAGCCGGCAGAAAGCAAACAGTTGTGTCCCAGGAGAGAAGCCCTCTACCACCAGGGAATGGGTGAGAAGGCATTGGAGTCCACTGGTCACTAGGGTAGTACAAGCCAAACCCACTGAGATTCTGCTGCACACTCTTTGAATGCCACAGCGAGGAGGACAGGAAATATGTGTGCAAGCTCTGACACACTGCTGGCCACAGACAGGCACCCCATTCTGGTATCTGCTGAAGTTCAACACAGGCACATGGTAGGCCCAGTGAACACAGGAAGTGTGTGTGTTACCCAAAAGACGTGCACAAGTCTCCACAGCAGCCCCATTTACACTGCCCTGAACTAGAGTCAGCTCAAGTGCCTATCCACAGACAAACATAAAGAAGTCGCCTATTCTAACGAACTAGTGAACAGCAATGACAATAAAATATCATGCCTACCTGTAAGAACCCGGATGAAGCCCACAAGCCCAAGGCTGGCTTAAAAGGCCAGACACAAATACATAAATGTATGTAAAATACAAAATCAGACAGAAATAATCTGTCTTTGAATTTGCATAGGGTTGCTGGGGGGTGCTAGTGAGTGACCAGTGGCATGAGCCTCTGGATTGTTCTGGCCGGCGTGACTCGGTTTGCAATAACGCGTTAGCTCTACGTTGATGATCTACACACCTTCCATCAGCAACTCACTCCCCACCTCAGTTTCAGGAAGACTCTAGGGAAATACATACCCTCCTAGGCCAAAACACCCAGGAAAGATCAACAGGTTCACAGCACTCTGGAAAGCAACTGCTTTCTGTGCCCACCATTAGTTAATCAGAACACCTGGGTGCAGCCAGGTGCCAGCAGCACGAACGGTTCCAGGAGACCCAACATGAAGCAAAAATCTCAGGAGCCACTAGACAAGACTATCTTTCCTCCCAAGTGACAGTGGAAATTTACAGGATCTTTTCCCTCAGCCTGGAAGTCTCAGTTTAAGCAGCGCTGACCATTCTGGAGGTCTCTCTGCTACTTCCAGGTTAGGCAAGCAGGCAGTGTGATCCTGAGAAAGTGGGGCCAGGTCCTGAAGGCTGGGGTGCATTCCTGAGTTTGGAAATCATCCTAAGAGCAAGGGGGAGCCACAGAAGGTTCTTAAGTAAGTACAGTACCTCCTCTGTCACTTGCCCTGATGAGCCCTACACGGAAAGGATTGGTTCATTGTGCTTGGCACGTTCTAGTGATCACTTGGGCCCAGCAGTATTCTCAGGGCTGTGTTTTAACTCTTAGCTCCATAACTACCCTACAAGATAGAGCAGAGCTACTGTCCCTGCTTACTTCTGAGAGGTCTCACACACCTGCCCAAGATCGCATATCCTTAAGTGTTGGAGCCAGAGGTCAACCAGACCATGGGCTTTGAGCCACCATATGGCAGGGAATCCCATCACCATTCCACTCATCCATCAGCTGCAGAGGGACCACTCATGTCTGCCATGCTGTATACTCAGCACTGGGCAAGGATGCTGGACCTTCCTCTTCAACAGACCTCTATTTAGGTTACAGATGAATGTTTAAGGCATGAAGAAATGATCACAATAATTAGGTGAAAAGTCAAGGTACGTTTTTATAAAATATAGTACATACTTATAGTAAAAAGGCTAGGAGAATAATGCCAAATATCCAGAATTTGTAGGTGAGATTTTGCTTCCTATAATTCCCACATGAATGCTCTTATTTTTCTAATACCAACCCGAGTGACCCACAGTTCCAGCCTCAAAGACTCAGTCTGGAGCAAATGGGGCACCACAACAGGGCTCAGAGGGAAGGGCTGACTACCACATCTGTCCAGTAGGCCGAAGAGGCATGACCCAGGGGCCACTCACCTCCCACAGTGCCCAGCATGGCCAGCCTGAGTCCACTATGCTGAGAACCTGAGCAGAAGGGATGTGGACAGCTGGTATGTGGGGCTGACCCAGCATACAGGTTGCACCGTCAGGCCTGCAGCAAGAGTATGGTGCCATTTGTGGGGACCATGCTCTTAATCTGGGACTCAGCCCTGCTGAAGCATAAAGTATCCCTGCTCTGCCACTTACCCAGATGACTTTAGGTAAGTCACTCAGTCTTCACAGGCCTCAGGCCCCTCACCTGTTAAATGGTATTCTACCTGCTTTACAGGATGCAGTATTAAAAGAGAATGGATAGGAAAATACTTTGTACATTCAAAACTCTGTAATAGTGTGCAGATTTATTTATCAGGTGCTTGCACAGAGCTTACAAGGTGCTAAACTCTGCATTAAGCAGCGTACAAAGATTAGTTTGCATTTCGTAACTGAGAGCTGAGGCTGCAAGCAGTCCAGTGTCTTGCTCACGATGACACACCCAGTGAGCTACATCCCTGCTCCCCTCAACGTGTGGAGGCTGTGCGGTGAGAAGTGTGACAAGGTGCCTTGCCCTGTGGGTGCTAGGTTTCTGTGGGGATGTTAGTTTCACGGTTCTTTCATTCACACCATCTTGACCCCGAGCTTGCGCTGCAGTGAGCGGTGCTTCTCTTCTGCCATCTACTGGCAGCTCAGAACATGACACCTCCATCACTGCCCCGCTGTCTGAGGGCCAGGGTGTGGTGGCACGTATTTAGGGCTAGAGGATCAGGCAGGCAAAAATGACTCTCTTCCGTTCTGATGACTCAAGGCAGTGTGCCAGGACTATTGGCATTCTGACAGGGCCCAGCTGCCACTAATTCATTCAAAATCGTTTATTAAACATATACCGTGTGGAACACATTTTCATTTACTCCACAAATATTTATTGAGCCTCTACAACACAGCCAAATGCTACCTTAGTTCCGGCGCCAAAACCCTAAGAAGGATGAAACCCCTCCTGCTCTCCAGTACCTCATGGAGTGCGGTCAAGGGGCCAGGTTTGAACAAGCTGTGCTGGCAAGAATGTTCTGTGTGGACAAGCCATACAGGGCTAGCAAGATGGATCCTAGAAAAATAAGGGGGTGACCCCT